TCAAGTAAGTGGGGTCATCATTTTACTTAGGACACTTTTCCACAGCCCCATGCACACCTATTGGAAAGATTTTTCCTGACACTAAAATGTGCTTTCCATAATTTCTTCTCAGTTTGTTCCCAGTTAGACCTTCCCAAGTCTTCCCAACCAATTCTTGTCCTGTTCAGAGCCCAATGACAATAAGACTGAGAATCAGCCATATAACTTTAAATTAGCGACAAGCACATTCTCACAATTGTACCTTGGAATTTTTTGATACAAAAATCACCCAAAAGTATCAGCTGTGGCTTACAATTGAACTGATGTAGGTGAAGCAGAGAGAGAGTGTCAACAAGAAAAAGTAACAAACCTAGTGCTTGCCTTCTGTCTTCTCCCACCACTTTGCAATCGCTTGCTCACTTCTGATGCTTCATGCTTACTCATATTTATTCCAGGCAGGAAAAGTTCATTTCGGCTATGTGTATGGCCTGAGTGCCATTGGGTGCCTTGCTATGCATGCCCTCCTGAACCTGATGAGCGTCCCAGGAGTCTCGCACGGCTGCGTTGCAAGTGTCTTGGGCTATTGCCTGCTGCCCATGGTGATCTTGTCCTCTTCTGCAGTCGTCTTCTCGCTACAGTAAGTACCAGTCTGTGGCAACAGGAATCATACAGAGGACAGTAAGTCAGAAGGCAGCTGTTATGCAAAACATTTTGTAAATGGTTATGTAGTGAATTTTGGCTTCCGAAACTGTGAAGAAAAATACTATTTTGTTTGTGTGTGTAGGTGGATATGGACAAAACTGGACTGGTTTTGAGAGGGGTGATATATATTCATTTTAATATGGGTCCTTAATTCCAGTGTTTCCCACTTGGACCGAGAGTGCCTTTGATTTTTGCAGCAGCCTCGGATGTGATTTTTGTTTTGCAGAAGCAACAGTGGCCAAACTCAGGTATCAATTTTAAAAGCGACTGCCGGACTTTGGTTTTATATAGCTGGTTCTCCTGTTCCTTTTTTGTTCATAGTATCAGGCTCCCATCCTTATGCTTCCTTTCCTTCTGTAGACCAGCTTCTGTGTGACAGAGTGAAATAAGCAACCCTTAATGATTTGGAGCATTAGAACAAGTGTTTAAGATGTAGTGGAGTCGTATACTCTGAGGTATAGATGTGGTGTAATTGCAAACCTGAAAATAACTGAAAACTTTGAAAAAACAAATGTGTGGTGGCATATATATCTGTGCGTGTGGGGGGGGGTGTTCGGTAATATGCCTATGAATAGGAAACTTGTCTGCAAGCCTCTCCTTCCTCCTCATTCGGTAAGCCTTTTGAGATACAGACTGTGTTTACCTCCCTGTTCACATACAGCAAAGTACAAGGAAGCTCCAGGTCTTGCCTGAAAGCCTTGAGCAGTACTTTTATCCCTCGTTAACACGTTATTAATAATGGTTCCCCTCCTTAGTCTTTGTTGTTCACTCACATTTTTAACTCTCCAATCTGCAATGTACGGAACTTGGCAGCTGATGAATAAGAAAGTGCCCCTGTTTGTTTTCTTTGGAAAAGCAGCGATTTTATATGTGTATATATTATTTTTTAAGGAAATTATATAGTGGAATGAAGATTTTGGCACAATCCTTGTTGCGTGTTTCTGTGGAGCTATGATGGGTTAACCTGACCATATTCCATGTATTAAAGTGTTTCTGAGCTGTCCTTGATGAGATGAACAGTAGTGACACTGAAGAAGCCGTTTATTCTCTGTTCTCCTACACTTCCCATATTTTCTTGATTAGCCTGTTTAATAATCCACCCTAATAAAAGGTGCAGATACATAATCGTAGGACAGATGGGGCGAACTCCAAACCAGCTGTTACAACTGTGCAGGGTACTGTTGTCTGTACAAGGAATCCCCAAGCACACGCTGCACATTTGTAAAATGCTGCGAATTTACAGAAAGCACATCTTTTGAAAATCTATAAATACTATACTGTGATAGCCTTTACAAAATTAAACCATTATTCTGAAATGAATTGATAACGTTAAGTGCCTATCTACAGGATTCTGCAGCCCTTTCTCATTCACTATATGAAACTGCTTGAACACAGCAAGTACCAAGGTTAACTATTATGAACACGCTATGAAATTAAGTGGCAACTTTTAAATCCAACATACATTTCATTATTTTTAATTTTAAAAAGTATTTAAAATGGCAAAGGAAAGACAGCAATACATTCATGATTTTTTAAAATATTTGTAAAAATGTTATTTCTGTCTATTTCAAAGTGTAAAGAACTAACTTCAATGTTTGTTTTCACAGAAAAGATACCTAAAATAATGCACCCATCTATTGCAAAGATACATACTAATCCAACAATTTTCGATTTTCATTATTAGCTGTTTCACTGTAACTGAATAAAGCATAATATGGAATGTTTTGGGCACTGAATAGTACCAAAGAGAAAACCAGTTCTCTTATGCAAATGTGCACGGAACCAGATTTGTTTGTGCCCATCTATGCTGATATCACGTCTGAGCCCAAGTTGATTAGGTCTCCTTTTGGGGAGAAACTTCAGCAGACTTTTGTCCTGGAAAAAACCACAATTCTTTACTATCAAATCCCTGAACAGAGTGGTTAAGCCATGTCCTTGACTAAACAGTGAAGGAAATGAGAGTAAGAGTGGAGAAAGGAATTCTTAGACCCAACTGATGCAAAGGACCCATTTGGTGACCGCATCTGCAGGTTGTGAGAGAGAGGAGTGGAGAGGGTCCACTGATGTCTGTCCCCCCAGCTCAATCTCATGCCAGTACACCCCCAGTCCTCTTGGTCACTGTGAGCATGACGTCTGCCTTTTGCCCCTTTCCCGTGCTTGAGGATTTGGCCCTCATGGACATGCCAGACAGAAGCTCTCTGCTAAAGCTAAACCATTCCTTTTGGCAGTAACATGCTGTTAGATCAAGGACTGAATTTATAAGTGCACAGAAGTATTTCTTGGCTCCAATATGATTTTATGTTACCTTTCCATCCTGCTCACTGCCAGTCGTGGAACAAACCATGAGAGGCCATTGGACTTCAGTGCAAGGCAGAACAGCCGCAGCTCTAAATTGTACTGCCTTGTGATAGCCCCCTAAAGAGTCATTATGCTAGCTGAGAATTGTCATCACACAGTATGTTCCTGTTACGTCCCATCCCTCTGCCAGCATGGGTACCTGCTCAAAGAGCCATCCATACCAGCTCTGAATTTCTGGCTAGCTGTTCAAGTGAGCATCTTAGCATTTCCACTTGGAGCAGAGGCCAGGAGCTTGGTTCACAGAGCCCAGTGTAATTTCCCTGAATGCCACTGTATAGGTTTAAAGAACACTTAAGCTGAGGATATTAAACCACATAGTCTTTAATGTTTTCTTTTTAACGGGTTGAAGTCGCAATGCGGTGCTGAGTCACCTTAAAATCAATTCTCTCCTTCCTCCCCCAAAGTCCCAAGAGCTGACAACACCAAGTACCTTACTGGCCTGGAGACTGGACTGCCAAGAAATGAACTATTTTATGTGATGTGATTGCATTAAATAAGTCAATTAAATAAGGAGAGCTTAGTGGAGATTATTTCTGATAAATGGACCTAAGTAAGTATATGTAGTCTGTTTCTCACTTCTGGTTCTGTTTTGCTGATACTTTGGAAAAGTGGGGCACCAGGAAGTCCTTTAGCAAGTGGCAGAGGTTCATTCATTCTCCATGTCCTTGTGACTGACACAGTGAAAGTGTGTGATGTAGCCAACCTCATTATGTACTTCAGCAGCGTATTACGCACATGATCTCATGCATTTTACAGAAGGAGGCTGCAAATACAGAGTGCAAATAGAGCATATGTGAAACATTATTTATTGGCAAGATTTTGTTCCTACAAGGTTTAATAGTGAGCTCTCCGTAATATGCAGGAATATTTCAGTGGGTTTTTGACCATAGTCCCATAATCATCAGTTCTCCAGGCCACCCTGCGCCTGAGAGGTGGCAGAATATAACTTCAGAAGGGCCCAGCTGTCACCAAGGGGCAGTGTGGAAAGCCACCGTCCTTTCAGTGTGCAGAGAAGGATGCCAGGATGTTTTTCCTCAGTGGTTCTTTTCCCAGCCCTTACTTTCTAGTCAGTGTGCACCCTTTTTTAAAAGACCAGTTGAGCTTTCTTCTGGGAGGCAGTCAACACCTTTCTGCATGGTCAGCTGCAGTGTAATTCTTTAAGAGCCTCACTGAGAGTCCAAGGCACACTTAAAACCTGTGCCATGTGTTACAAAAATGCAGCCTCTCCAGGTCATCAGGCTGCCTGATGGAAGATTAGGTCTGTAGTGTCATTTTAGATCCTAACAACTTCTACAGGATGATTTTGGCTGCAATAGGATCTTTGCTAGCTTTAAAATTAAACTTCAGCTGCTGCCTCTGCTGGAGCCCCGAAGATTTATTTGGAAATGCACTTGTCCTTTTAGCAGTACTACTGATGAAGCTGCTGCTTTTATCCATGATAAATCCATATCCATGATACCTTTTGTTTCCTGTTACTATTTTAATTTGTTTCTCAGGCTTGACTTTCATTATGTCAGTCAGTCCTTGGTTCTTCCAGTGGCTGTTACCTTATCAATAACAAGTTGCTAGACATGAACTTGAGTTTGAGAAGATTTAATGCTACACTTACTAACGAGTGGATTCTGTCGTGTTTCCTTTGTTTTTTCTCCTAGGGGAATCCTGGGAACTTTGTTAGCTCTGCTTATTATTGGATGGTGCAGTTTGTCAGCCTCCAAAATTTTTACCTCTGCATTGGCTATGGAAGGACAGCAGCTTCTCATTGCCTACCCGTGCGCTTTACTCTATGGACTTTTTGCACTTCTAACGGTTTTCTGAGATGTATTTTCTGTTAGCCTTATTACAGTCTGTTTATGGTTGCTGGAGGGGCAAGGGGTTATTTACTTATTTTTAGATTGCCTAGAGTTGCATTATGTTCCATTAAAAAATTAAATTTATAACATTTACTTTTTATTTCCCTAATGGCTGATAATGAAATAAAAAATCAAGCTAACAGGTAGATGACTGCAATAATGGTGTTTTGAAAGTCTTACAGCTTTACGAAAAACATTTGTATTGAGAAGGTAGTAAAAGTGGTTATTTACTTATTTTTAGATTGCCTAGAGTTGCATTATGTTCCATTAACAAAATTAGATTATATGACTTACCTTTTATTTGCCTAATGGCTGATAATGAAATAAAAAATCAAGCTAACAGGTAGATGACTGCAATAATGGTGTTTTGAAAGTCTTACAGCTTTACGAAAAACATTTGTATTGAGAAGGTAGTAAAAGTGAAAAAATATGAAATAAATGGTAATTTTAAAAAAAATTTTCTGAGTGTTAATATATAATACATATACTAGAGAGTAACTGGAAAGCAATAATGTAAATATTTAATAGACCTAGTAAATCAAGTGAAAATACAAATTTATTTGTTTCAAAAAAAACCAGCTTGCCATCTTACATGATTACTAATTAATACCCAGAATTTATGTGTGTGGGTTTGGGGTTTTTTTAACAGAAGAGTGAGTGGCCCTGCTTTGTGATGTTGAAGAATTGTCCAAGAACAGGTTGCTACAACAGAGGGAGGGAACTAGGAATGTCATCTTGTTTGGCTGGTGTTTTTTTTTTAAGAGGTGTTGCTGTCCAAAACACTATTGTACTGTTTGTAATGTGCAGTAATGTTATATTTTAAAATTGCCACTAAACCACCGCCTGCTGTCACTGCAGAAAAGATGATGTCATAGACAAGTCAAATTACTTATGGGGAAAATGAACACCTTGAAATTTTGCCACAATATTTACAAAGCAAATGCCAATCTAATTATAGTTTTATGTTTATTTTTTCAGCATTTATAACTTTTTTCTTTTTTTCACTGAGGTGCGTCTTCATCATTTTGAATGTTAACTTCTTCATTTCAATAACTTCCCTTGCTTTACTGTTTAGTCATGTGGATTTCCTTTTACCTGTTCCCAAGGGATTTCCAGCAAGCGGTATGCATTGGTGCTGTGCTCCCAATATGGTGTTCTTCAGGGGTCTCTATGCTGCCTGTGAGGATTTAAATCTCTTAGCCATCCTTCTTCGACTTCTTTTAAGCAAGGTTCCTCATTTTTACATAGCTCTCCTTTCTGAAGGTCAGCACGGCCATGGTGATGCTTTTGACCCTGTTATTCCTGTGCGCTTCCTGAATCTAAAAATATTATGGTCACTATTATAAGCAGTTACTTCCTCGAAAATAAATGTTATTTTGGTCTAAGATCAGTTCAAAACATGTATATTCGGTAATATACTCTTGTTCTGCCTCTCTGGACAGGCCTTCCCAACACCACCTAGCTTTCCTGTATTGTCTCTTGTCTGGGCCATTGTATTTCACTCCCTCACATCATTCCATGAAAGTTTAAATACAAGCCTGGCAAGCTGTTACTTTCAACTTACCAAAGAGAGGATTATAAAATAATCGTAATGAGTAATAGTAATGAGTCACAAACTGATTTTTAATTCATGCTTCCCACCCCGAAGAGTTAAAAAAATCACAAGACTTAAACCTAACTTCAAAGCAAAAGGGGAAAAAAACCTGCACGGTTTTGGAGGGTGAAAGTTTCTAATTAGTCTTTGGTTTCTTGATTTTCATAGCATGCACATGAACGTTCAATTCTGAATGTGCATTCACACACAAAAATGGGCACTTATTTAGCTCCTTTCTGTTATTTCAAATGGTGATATCAGTGTTGGACACAGGCAGTATAGGAGAGGTATAGGAGACAAAGTGCTTGCCTGTCTTCCACTGCACTTCTTGTGTGCCAGATGTACTCAAGGTCACCCTCAGAAACGAGCTTGCAGCATTCTGCTGTAGTCTAAACATTTTACTGTTCTATTGCAACAAAATGCAGGCGAGAATGGAAGTGAACATACTCCGAGTGAGAGGAGACCATAGTGTGGGTCAGAGTACAGAATGACGATAAAGTGGTTATCTGAACAGCAGCATCTGACAACATGTCAGGTTGCATCCAGAGACCTGCTCTCCTTGGCAAGCCAAGGGCCACATTTGTAGTACCAAGTTTCCACTATTTATCAAAAATCATCTTGCCACACGTCACCTCTAAAAGGTTATAATACAGGCCTTGAATAGTTTAACTGTTGGTAAACCGAATTGAGGATTGAAAGCTGCTGACACATTGAATTGGACACATGCCATGCTTCCTGGTGAAATAGCTCCATTAGCAAAGGGTAATATTTTTCCATTTTTTAGCATGGAAGCCACAGAAAGCTTATATACAAAAGCAGTGAAACTGACTTTTTCATGACTGCATTGTTTATGTCATTTGAGAATGAGACATGACAGCTCTGTCTTGTCTTAGACTTCTCTTGCCACCACATTTATTTCAGGTCCTTGCTAAACAGCCATCTTCACATGTTGGCTTTTTTTGTCCACTGAAAGATCTTAAGTGAATTTTGCAGTAATGTTGAATTACTGACCTTTATTCATATCAATAATGGGTATAAGTGAAGCAAGAATTCAATAAATTGTGTCTGGTTTAAATGTCCTTTTCCTCCCTTACTGTCAGGAGCATACTTAGCGGTCAGGCTGTTGTGGGCTTGTTTATGCCTGGTAGCCAAAAAAATAAAAATAAATATATATGATATACATATACATATGTAAAAATAAAAATATACATATATATGATGGGTTGCAAGACACTGGGGCGGCAACAAGTTCTGGGCAGTACATCACCACTTTCTGAGGGCACAACATTAGCAATCTGGTGACCCAGCCTGGGAGCTGATACATATCCTTTCAAAGAAATCAGCAGTTGCAGCATCTGATAAGCCTTATGGAGAATCACTGCACATAATGGCAAAGCTCACAGTGACATGATGCATTTGGTGGTTAATGTATTTTCTGACAGACAACAAAAGGCTACTGGATCAGCCAGTAGTGGGTTACTGCAGCATAATGGCTACAAAAATAAACTGGATAATTAATGTTAACCTGCCTAGATCATTGTAATATGAAATTGATCTCTACCTGTGTTGGCATTACTTATGGATATGTTCCTTTTCAAAATCTTCTCTCTGTCAAAATTTGCCCTTCACCGATTCATTTAGCCTCTTGCATGTTTATTCTAAGTAAACTGCAATGGCACTGTTAGAAGTACCAATTTTGTAGCTGTAGGCCATGACTTGTCTGCTTAAACAGTCTCACCTCCTCAGTGCTCCTGATGGTGCATTCTTAGGTCAGAGCATGCACAAGGGTTGTGTTTTAGTTGTGTTTGCCAAGTGATTTTGAAAGAATAACATCTGAGACAATGCCAATATGTTTGCTGTGATTACCAAGCACATTTATTAGACTTATGGTCTCATCATTAGCTTAAAAATGCCTAGTGACCTTGGTGCTGCATCACTGAACTAGATGAACGATGCAATTCACAGTGATCTGCATACAGTTGCATAATAAAGACCTTGGCCAACACATACCCTCTGCTATGGTAGCATTTTAGTTACAACTGCAAAAAAAGAATCATTACCCTTCTTTTGCCATGATATTAAGTGCAGCGGTAATGAGTGAAAAGAGGTCACAGAAACACCAAACATGCATAATTGTAAACGTAACAGACCACATGGGAAGCCACCACTTTGCAGAGAACAAGGGGTAGATTTTCAAAGGGACAAAGGCCAGTCCTATCAAAAGCCACTGAGATCTGAGCTCAGGTGTGTATTTCGGTGATTTTCCTGACAGCCTCTTGACAAGCACTCCTGAGCAATCAAAGTGCAGCGAGCCACCAGGCTACCACAGGCAGTCTCCCAGGGGACTAATGACCCACATATAATTCTGGGTAGAGACAGCTGTAGCAATCAAGCATAAGAAGCTATCCCAATGCATGGATGCAAAATGTGATCCCTGGCGACAACATTGTTCCTTTGTTTTATTCTAGTTTATTTAACCTCCATCTCTGGACATTGAGTGGCTGCAGGTTGTCTAGCTCAAGTGCTAACTGCTCCTTATCTCAGCTCTAAATGTACGATATGGAGTTTGACTGGGCTCCGGCTTTGCTCTTCACTAGTAGATTGTTGGTTGCTCTCGTTTCTGACCTTTAGCCCTTCTCCTGACTATGCTCCTTAGCCAATACTTCTTCTTGTTCCTGATTTTTGGTTTCCCGGTTTCTGGTTCCAAGTTCACAGTTTTAGTCATAATCTTAACCATTTAACAGTCTGCATCCTTGTTGTATTTAACCACGACACTTTGATACTCCACTGACCTTGTAGAAAATAAAACACACAGAGGAAGAAGGAGTGCTAGTGTACAATGTGAAAATATTTCTGAAATAAAATCCTGTCAGCACTTGGCCGTCATTAGTCCTTTTGGTCTACAGCTGACTGTGAAATTAACTGCGGTTAGGATTATACGTCATCTAAACAGTAGAGTTGAGAGAGAAACCTCTAATACGTTTTATGAGTAAAAGTAGTATTTTTAATGCAAATACCTTGTTGAAACCCCAAATACGATCAGGACCTTAGGAGTGATACAACTGCATATCTCAATGAAAAGGCTCCAGAAAAGAATACCCTAACATTTGAAGAGGCATAAAGTGATGCACTAGATTTTATCTCTCCATTGTAGAACAGTATGATATTCATGCATTACTGTTCAATCGCTCTTCTGAATTGCTAACTGAATGGAGGAAGTACACTGTTGATGCACTGCAGAATGTGAAACAGTTTAGGCAGTTACTCCTTGTGAAAAGTAGTAATGGCACTTGGCTCTTCAGAAGAAGTAGGCGTGATAATGTGATCCACTTTAAAGTGCACTTGTGCATTTTGCTTGGTGAGTCAATTTGCTGGAGGAAGATGATACTAAATGACACTAATAACCACAAAAAGGATGAGTGCAGCATAAATTTGCTTATATTTCAGACATTGTGCACATGGTGCATAGAGATCTGCAGAGTGTTGCAGAGTAGCAGCACTGCGATATATCTCACCTGCATAATGAGTACTGCTGAATAACTGTTGGCACTGCATAGGAAACCCTTTGACTGAGATATGAGCATACCTAATGCTTCCTGCCTTGTAAAAAGGACCACTTCTTAAAAGAGAAATTCACCCTGGAGACACGTGAATTTCTGAGGACAGATACTGAGGTGATATGTTTAACGGAGAACTTTGCAGTTTGCTTCACCACCATTGCTGCCTATATACTTGTATATTCTCTTTCCAGCGCACCAGTCTGATTATTGATTGGGTCCTGCTGCAAAGGAGGAGGCTCAGATCAGTTGCTAAGGTCGGTTGCCAAGAGTACCCTGAAGTGCGGCAAGGATCTC